CCCCAAAACCCCAAAACCCCAAAACCCCTTTTCAGTGTCTGACTTCTCCTTCTATTTAATTTAATAGATATGGTGAATTCTCAGTTTGTATTGATACTTTGAATTTATAACATTTCTCGCAAAGCTTGTCTACTAACTCATCGGTGTTATTGATGATGGTGTAATAATTAATAATTATCAAATTTTCTAATACATTACTTCCTTGTATTATTGAATAATATTAAGCATTTCTCATGCAAGAACTTGAAGAAAATAAGATTACTATTCATAGTAATGCTCATAGGATGTTGTTTGAAGGTATGTTTCTTATATTCATATAATTGAGCTATTTAGATAGCGAGACTGAAAAAATAGAAGGAAAGACTACTAATTCACCACTAGTTTTAAATAACAGTGAAATCAATAAAAGAAAGCATCGAGCTCCTCAGCTTCAAAAAGGCCTTAAGACGTCCATAAATACCTAACCCCTCCTCTCCGCTCAAAAACAATCTTCCTCGGCCAAAAATCACTAAAAACTCCCTTAAAAACCCCCCTCCTCCAAAACCCTCTCTCCCTTCACCCCCACCGCCCACCCTTCTCCATCCCAACCCCTCTCTATCCCCCACTCCCTCTTCCCCTTCTCTTCCAGCCTCCCTTCCCAGCCAAATCCCGAACAAGGATTTGGCTCAACTGAGGCAGAAGAAAGATGGCCAGTTGAAGAAGGGGCTGAAGAAGAGAGCTAAAGGGCAGAAGGAAGGGAGGAAGAGTGGAAGGGGCTTGGGGGGAATAGAGAGGTTGAGGAATAATGGAGGGATAGAGCAGAAGGTGTATGGGGGAGGGAGGAAGGAGGAGGAAAGGGAGGGGGTTAAGCAACAGTGAGAGAAGTTTCCGGAGGTTGGAAATAGGGGGGAACTGAAGAGGATGGAAATTATGAAGGAGAAGAGAAAGGAGAAGAGAAAGGAGAATAAAGAAGAGGGTAATGCTGGGTTGATAATGAATAAGTATGGGAATACTTTACCACCTATCAAACTTGAAAAAAAAACAGAACTTCATGAGAGGGTCTCAGGTCAAGATCAGATAAATCCTCAAAAGAAGGTGAAATCCAAGCCTTTACCGAATAACAATGATCTTAAAGAGTTAGAGCCCTTAAACGATCCTGTTAAGTAAATTTCAATTTAATTTCTAGAATCATCAAGAAGCAACAAGTAAATCCACTTAAATTCAAAAATCAAAAGGAAGAGCCTAGGTCTCCAGTGCAGAATAACTTTGTAGAAACTAGAAGAGGTAGTTATAAGCCATATTCCTTAAAAGAGTATCGAAAGAAAGAAGTTGGTTCCAAGACACACCGGATGGGAGGCCTCGGTGCTAACATCGGTTCTGAAGAATGGGAAAAACAGAACAGCAAGCTTCAAGTAATGAAACAGTTCTCCTCAAGAGTCAAGGTCTCCAACAAAATTACATTAGAGAGCATGCCTAAGAAGAGAAGAGAGCCAGTAAAAGAGGTTTCTAAGCTTGAAAAAGCCCTTGAGTTTGCTAAAAATGTTCCCAAACCTAAACCAGCCATGCCCAAAAACCCTAAGGTTATTAAGGAGAAGAAATCTATTGAGCAGTTGAAAGATAATTTTATTCATGGTCTTGATTCTGTTCCAGATGAGCCAAAGCAATCTGAATTGGAAGAGCTCAACCAAAAACATGAAAATTTTGTGAATGAAGTCAATGAAATTAAAAAATTATTTATGTAAATCTTTCTATCTAATCCAAAGAAATAGGGGTTTTGGGGTTTTGGGGTTTTGGGG